TTGTTTCCTAACACAGTCGTACCTCAATGTGATGCAGCAGGGCAGGTTGTTAATCCGACCTTATCCCCTTTCTCAAGTGTGTTTCAATACGAATTATAGCTTTTTATTGTTACATTATTATACATTACCATGACTTGCTGTCAAACCCTGTCCACCGTAAACGCCAGGTACCCAAACCAAAGGCCCCCCACCAGCTTTTTTTGTTACGGGTTAGTAGAGGAAACGCCTAAAGGTCCTGCCATGGCTTTGGCAGAGTAGCTTTCACCCCCATCCGCTGTAGCTTTTTCACCATATACCTCTCACAGTTTGCCAGCATCCCACGATAGTTCTTCCCAGTCCTTCCGCCCAAATCCTGAGTCACTCCGTCTCTCGTCCAGACGCTCCATGCCCCCATCAGAGAGGCCATAAGCACATCTGTTCCCACCCGGTCACCAACAATGGCTACCTCCTCTGCCCTCTCCACGACCCCACGATCCAGCAGAAACTTCAGCACTGCGCTATACGACAACGGTTTCTTCACCAATGGCGCCCCGGCCCTTCTCTCAGGGGACCTATACACTCTAATCCTCAATTTACGCAGAGATTCTTCAATCTTATCAGCATCTTCCTCGAAGTGTTTGGAGCGCGGATCCGAGCCCGCGGTGTTCGAAACAATGAGTATCCCATCCGGATTGGTCATCATGTTAAAAGGTGATGACTCGCTGGTACGTAAAGCACGTAACTTCTCATAGTATTCATGGGGGAAGCCTGTATTGTGAGGTGGCGTTAGGGTATTATCTTTGTCAATGACGAGGGCGCGAATGGTAGGTGGCCGAGCACCGGCAGCTTTTGGGGCAGCTGAATCAATAAGATGATAAGATAGATCGTCTGGTAGCTGCAGGAAGGTCGGGATGGTGAGGTGTGGAATGAGCAGTGACGGGTTACGCAGGAGCGCAGTCGCCGTCACGTTGAAGGCGGAGATGTTGGTGTTAAACAGCGGCATCGTATGTCTAGTTACTTCTTCACAGCAGTTTATACGCTTGTCAGGTATATGTATCTAAAGAGTAAAACGGTCATTATCTCTTCAATCGACTGCAGGCCGACGCAGATGATTGTTTTTCGACGTCTGCTTTTGATTTGTTTTCAATGAAATCATGTCTACAAGGTGGTCCGTGCATGGAAGCTCCCAAACTTTCTTCCTTTTCTTATCAAAATCGCCAAAAAAAATAATAATAAAAAAACCGGCAAAATCGATTAAATATTTAACTGAACATCACGCGCTGTCTTTGGATCAAAGGTCGTATATTTTTTTCCCCTCCAGCACTGCTGTTTGCTCCTTGCTTGCACATTATACCTACGACGATCTCTGTAGGCTTGTTTTTCTATATCTTCTGCAATTGCCCACCATGGGCAAGTTAACCAGTACCATCGGCATTCCTATCAAACTTCTCAACGAAGCACAGGTCAGTATTTTCTTTCTTTCCGTTTCTTTTCCTACTGTGATATAGCAGCTATTGCGATTATTGCCATCTTTGTATTTGCGCCTCTTCGTTTGTTGGAGGAAAATATGGCTAACTTTCAACTATCTGCAGGGCCATGTTATCACCCTCGAGATCACATCCGGACATGTTTACAGAGGGAAACTTCTCGAAGGTGCGCGTGATCCTCAATCGAATGCGATTCGATATATGCTCCCTTACATCTCTATCTTTATTCTGTCGAAACCACTCTAGACCGCATTGCTCACTACGATTCTACTCTAGCCGAGGATAATATGAACGTACAACTCAAAGATATTACTGTTACAGCACGAGACGGTCGTGTGTCGCATCTGGACCAGGTGTACATCCGCGGAAGCCATGTCAAATTCTTCATTGTTCCTGATATGTTGAGGTATACATGCTCTCTAGCCGTTATCGTTCATAAGTTGAACCTGTTACTGACGCATTCCTTTTTTCCCTTCTTTTCTCTATAGAAATGCCCCCATGTTCCGATCCAGAGGCCAGCGAGGACGAGGTGTTGGTTTGGCCAGAGGCAGAGCAACGGTTAACAGAGCAAGGGGTCAGCGAAGAGGCTGAACGGCCATGAAGAAGGCCGATGATAGAAATGAAGTTACTGGGCTGGCGTTTTATATTTGATCCTTTTTCCTCTGCCTTATTTGCGATGCTATCTACTGAAGGAATACACTTGACGCAATGGCCTATTGCTATTGCAGCAGCAAAGGCCTGTCAGTACGGACGTGATTCCAACCAGAATAAAATGAACAAATAGAAAATGGTAACCAAGAGGTTCAGAATAGCAAGACGGATACGTCTGATTTCCATAGCATCAACAATAGCTCTCTATTTGTTCATGGTGGCTGTATGAAAGTGGCCTTAATTTCGTCATATCGATTTCCTCCCCTGACTAAACAGAAAAACATCTCCGACCCTCGTTCGTAGATATTAACCCAACCCGCAATGTCTTTACCGTCAAAGCCGCCAGAGAAGGCGAAAACTAATGTCAAACATATATCGAACCCTCGCCGGCTCTTGATTCTCGCTCCCAGTGCGGAATCCCAAGCTGTCATCCCGCCTTTTCTCACCTGCTTGACCGGCTCTCCTCCTATCCTCCCCTCGCCGCAATCCGACACGAAGCTGAAATGTTAGAAATTCCCTATATGAGCCACTTTAAACAGAGTCAAAAGATCCGTTCTAACTCATATTTGTAGACAGTGATGCGACAATCGATACCTCAGACGTCGCATCTACAACCCCACCAACGGCGTCATTCGCAGGATATACAACACATACACCGTTACAGCTGAACACTAAGTACTACAGTACGGATATACCAATATGGGTCGATGAAGTTCCATCCACCCCCTTAGCCGAGCCATCGGGGGAGCTATCTTCGCCTGCGGGGAAGGAAGATATTACAAGCAGCCCAGGGGTCTGGAGAAACGAATTCATCAGCGAAGAGGCTCGTGGGGTTAGAGATGCCATTGGAGCGATAATAGTGTGTGTTCAAAGGCCGAAGCCGCCTGACCCGGCTTTACGTCGAGATAGTGTGGTGGATGGGGATGAGAAGAACTACAACGATATTTTTCAGAATGCGGTAGACACGATTAAAGAAATTGCTCGTGCGGTGGCGGAGGTGAAGGCATTGTCTGAAGAAGAGAGAGGCGAGATAGGCGATGTCCCCGGATTAATCTTGTTGGTTGGAGAGGGATGTGAACGAAAGTCATCCGTTGTGAGTGAGGATGGCGACACTTCAGGGGAGTATGGATCTTTGTGGTGGGATGAAGAATTGAGTGACTTGGGAGTTGGATCTGGACTTGAAGTAGTACTCTGGGATCCTAAAAGGGGCAATGGGATATCCTCGGCGAGGAATGAATATGGAGGTAATACCCACGTTCTATTCCATTCGAAGTGTCAACTAGCTGACTTGTCTTTCAGAGCTTGTGGGTATGGCAAGAGTTCTGGAAGTATTAGAAACTCACCAGTGGTCGTCTTCGACCTCTGATGATCTAGCAGATGACTTGGAGTCTATTGACCCGGAAGGACATGATAAGGCGTCGGGAGGATTCACTCTAGAAGCAAATGAGCTCGAAAAGGAGATGGCTAGCCTTCGGCTTGCCATCAATAGCAACACTAACGACAGTGATATTGGCGAGCAATTCGAAATTATAGGAGATAATAGTCTTAAAGTCGAACAACTCGAAGGGCTAATGCTGAGAGTGCAAGCCATAAAAGATATGGGAGCAGATTTGCCCGAACAAGAAAGAAAGACGTTTGCTGCAAAGGCCATCAGAGACCTTATGAAGGATATATGATATTATGATTAAATTTACAGTCCTATCTTCTAATGGGATCACTGTGTTAATGTAAAAGGATATTTAGTTCAGGTCTAGCTGCCATCGTCACCAGGAGAGATCTCTCAGTTGGCCTTCTTCTTGCCCTCGGCTTTCATCACTTTTCTCCTTTGTGCCATCATATGGGTGAACAGAATATATGAACCTAATGTACCGAGTTAGCCAAGGTTTGGCGCCAGCGTTTCTTTCTAAGAGGGCCATACCAGGGATATAAAAAAGTAGAATGGCAACAAATGCAAGGCGGAATACGGATAGTAAACCAGTTGCGTTAACCACCGTCAGATAGATCAGGAAGCACTCGCTGGAAATTCCAACGGGATATAAAACAAAAAACGTGTTGTACCTTCATAAGAAAACAGCAAATATCAGTATTGCCCGTTATTGATAGCTGGAGGGAGTGATACAAACCTCAGCCAGAGGATAACCTTGGGTATACCCTGTCCCAGGATCTGGAAGACAAAGAAGCCATATCTAATACACTCTGTAACCCCCCAGGCAAACAGGCACCCGATGAATCCCCAATCGCTTAATTGCGCGGATCTCATTCCATGTCCGAGGAGAAAATATTTATTCAAACCCGTACCCGCAGATTCGAAGATAGGTAGGGTAGGGCTAAACGGCGAGAAGACATACATCACTCCCCATACTAGTAATAGCCGGCTGGCTACCTGCATGGCCGTAGTCATCACAGAAGCTCGAACAAGCCCGAACAAGGAATGGAGGATCTCCAGAGCAGCAAGGGATTGAGTCGTCTGAAGCAGTGGGAAGAGATAAACGAAAATTCCTGCCACTATCTCACCTTGACCCCCATGGTTGCCATTGTATATTCGGAAGAGTGAAGAGAATAGGCGGAAAGTCAGAGTACCCCAGAGCCCAAGGGATACCAAGTTGTAAAGAAATAAATATGCCTGTGTAGGGGAAGACACTGGCGTTGAAGATCCGGACCGTGCCATATTCAAGTTTTCTTTGCTTCTACTTGCACTGAGCAATATCTGTGGTATCAATCGGAGAATGTTCAAAATAAACAACGCGATTGTAGTGTCCCAAATATTTCCGTATTTGGAATATTCATTTTTTTAACATGGACTCTCACGTGACATTTAAAAACCATCGCCCTTATCAATCTTATCTAGCATATATTGAGTAATAATACGAAGTGCTTGATGGACTCTTTTATTCATTAAGCAGTGTATTTTCGTGTATGGAGATTTCTATCAATGAAGCTTCTTTCAATAGATGCCGGAGGCCAAGGAAAATTCAATTAGGGTACTAGGGCATAGAAATTTACTTCTTTCCCTTTCCCTTTTTCTTCCTCGCGCCTCCACCGCCCGAAATTACCTGGCTACTGCTCTTTGCAGGCGTGGACGAGCCGTTGCCGTCTTCAGTTTTTTCATTAACAACGCCACCCTGAGTCCTATCGGCTGCCTTTTGTTTGCCCTTTTTCCCCCTAGGTCGGTAGCTGGATCGATCTCTCAACGGAAGCCATCTCTCTAGATCAACTTTTTCATTTGGATCCATATTCTTTGCTTTTCGAACTCTTTTGTTTTTCCGCACTGCATCTGGCGCGCGTCGTTTTTGGCCTTGTTTCAACGCAGATACTCCTGTGCTAGCAGGCAGTTGAACACCAGCTTCCTCCAAACCAGCAACATCTACTCCCGCGATTAACTCTTGGACTGGCAAAAGTGTTTTTACACTAGACTCAACAAGGTCAGGGGAGGTGATTGCGTGAGAAGCAACAAAGCCGGCAGTTGCAATACGATCAGTGTCATCAGTAGAGTGGAGATGACCGAATATTTCGGCGGCGGTAGATATGTCTGAGGGGTTGTGGGAGTTAAATAGAGAAATTGCAGCAGCGCGGAGAAGCGGTATGGGCTGGCAGGATGGGCTCTTCTTCTGCCAATACTTGGCAGCTTTTGATAATTCAGAATTTATGCGATGCTTGCGACCTTGAGTCCTGTAAAGAGTGACTAGGATGTTAACCAAGCCAGGACTGAATCGAACCATCAGACTGGAGTCGTTGCTGACTTCTTCAACTCTATTTGAATAATCCTCTAGAGTTGATATTGCGGCATTGATATTTCCATCTACCACGTGAAGCTGAGTAAGAAGAAGAATAAGGCCGAGATCATGGGGGCGCGTTTCGACAAGAGACGATGTTTTCTTTATCGCACTTTTGCTTACTGTTCCATGGGTATGCGCGGCAGCGTTGAACACGGCGAGTGAATTTATGTCTGAGGAAAGAGATGGGGAACGATGCTGTGAGAGAGTTTTCAGTGTTGACCTTGAAACTCCATCAAATTTCTGGACCATAAGATCAATAATATAAGCATTTCTGCATAAGATGTCATTTTGGTAGAAGAAGAATTTATCGTTATCAGTTGGCCTTGAGGTGCTGTTAAAAAATTTGTATTTCAGGTATGGGTTGACGTTTCGACGGGTTGTGAGAAGAGCGAGGTTTTCAGCAATGATTTTAGTAGAAGGCTCCGTGATGCTACGAATGTCAGCCTAAATACGCAAAAACACAATAGTTATACTTACTCCGCAAAATTTATTTCCCTAATAAGAGTATCCGCCTCTTCAAGTTTCCCTTGTTGTAAACAAAGATATACCTCTTGGATTATAATGGGCAGCAACTCGGCTTTTTTATCGTCAGGCGACAGTTCATCTGATGCCTCACATAATGCTATTTTTGGTGTGTCAGAATGCCATCTGAAATACTTTTAGAACAATACAATCTAACCTTTTGATCTCTTCAGTAACGCGTGAGCTTTCTCGTAGTGGCCCTTGGCTATGTGTTGACATGCCACATTGTATACGGCTTCGAAAACGTCTAGATTTTCACTCTTTGGCACCAAGTTTCCAATAGAATTATTTTGCTCTGCCCAAAGCCTCTGGGCTTCGGTTGCGGTTATATTTATTTGTAAATCAGTGAGCTCTTCCGCGGAGGCTCTCTCATTGCTGAGTAGATCTTTGTAGATCTTGCCAGTTCGGTCAAAACATTCCGCTCGATACGTCTATATCAAGTTAATACGTTAGTTGCGGTTTGGATGGACCCCTACTGAGCCTCACGAGCAAGGAAATGATATGATTCTGGGTATATATTGAACTAGCTGACGGGTTACGAACCGCTTGAGCTTCAACATGTTTTGCACCCCTTTCCGAACCAACAGAGGCCGCAATTGCCGTTGCCTCGTCTAGCCTCCCAGATTTATATAGCGCATAAGACCATTCAAGAGGCAATATTTTCTTCAACGCGTCACCCCCTTCTTCAATTACGCGAATCGCATCCTCAAATCGATCCAACTTTATAAGCGCAATTGTTTTGATATGTTGCGCATCGACATCGTTTCGAGACTTTTTTAATATTGAGTTGCAAGCTTTGATAAATTCTTCATGATCGTTTATTGTGGTTTTTTGCATGAGAGCACTTATGCTCTGTAAAGTAGTCCCCATAGAAGCTGATTTTGGTGATCAATGGTGGGGGGATTGCGAGGAAGGATAAAGGATCGATGAGACGCTCGAATTTGATGTTGCCCACCGCTGGAAGTAATTTTAAAACCGACGTAGACGCTTCAACTTGTGAGCTACTATGTGCCAAACGCTTCGCCATTCACCTGCTCTGCTTCAATCAAGTCAATCGATCGATATATCAAAAAGCTCAAACATGATGTCAAAACAAGCCCCGTGACGTTTATAAGCCCTAAGCCCTAAACGTTTGAACCTTGTGATGAGTCAGTCAGCTTGATGATATAATGATATTACCCACTAGTCCTGAAATGGAACATGATTTATCATATCAAAACTCTAATGTAACTTCGTTATTTCGTTTGTTCACAAAAAAGAAACAACTTCGATGCTCGTTCGAAAGCCTCGCCTTTCTCAGGCATCGTAGTCGAGTTTACGCCGTAACAGAGAATGCCTGGGTGCATTACCGTCCTCTGCTGCCAAGGCCGCCTACGCCCCTGACACTACATAAAGTGCACACACTCGCGATCCAAGCACATGCCACTTTATTGGGGACGCGTTGCTCACAGATGAGAAATATACCACACAGGTGGAGCACTATGTGCTCGGATCGCTGTGGCCATTCTGATTTTCTCTGGGGCCCAGAACCCATGCGTTTCTGCTAAGCATATACTACGAAATATCAGCAGGGAGAATACGGAGTACTAGCACATCATATCCTGCGGTTGTCGAATGAGGGCCTTCAGCATCAAGAATTGTAATGCCTGGATTAGGAGGACTACAGGGACGCCACTTAACCATGGCTGACCCGCTCGTAGATCCTACCACTAATCTCAATCGCCGAATCTTTTTTATATATACATCGAAGCTAATGAGAGTCATCGTTAGGCTTTAAAGCTGGCAGAATCATGAACCAGGCAAACAAGATATACGATATACGCGAGATAATTTACTGGCCACGGGCTGTACCTTACGAGCTTAGTGGAGAGCTTGGTAGGACAGAAGGATGGTTGGTATCCAACATAATCACGGTTAACTTCAAATTTGACTGTGGGTTTTGCTAGATAGGGGATATGGAAATTGGAGACCTGTACTACCTGGGTACAGGGAACCGAACCCCTGCATCAAATCCCCGTACAAAAGTGCATTGATCTGCTAACGGCCGATGTTGAGCTGTCAAGGTGACAAGAACAATCTATGAGAGTGTGGCAAGACAGCCAGGCTCCCGAAATACCGCTCTCTCCACAGCCCTCTATCCACGGCCTATGGAAATCGCAGATATTTCTGAGAAAATTCTCTACAAGCCAAATTTATGTGAACGAGCCTATTGTTTGCATGGCATTAAATGGGGTCTCATCTGTGATATGTTAGAGTCTTTGGAAAATTCGATCTGGAGCTTTCAACCAAACATCATTCGCTTTATTGTACACTCATAGGAAAAAGCACGGCGTAGAAACAGGCACCGCCAGTGTTAATTAGAAATTACATTGACTAGGACGAAATAAAGGAATCACTGTTCAGAAAGAACGAAAAGGGTTAAATGGAAAATAGTCAAGGAAGGCTTGAATGTTTTTCTGATGGAGTCCGCAAATAGTCTGAGTCGTCATCACTTTGACGAGGACTGCTATTCCGCCGACTACTGCTGCCGTCAGTCTCTGAGTTGTTACGGGCCTTAACCTGGTTGCGCAGAGATGCTACTTGTCTCCTTCGAGCATTGATGAACCAGTTACTAATCTGAGGACACCAACGTGTTAGTCATCAATTAAGGAATATGGAAAGACAGCATGCTTACCTGGCTAATTGTCAATCCTGTGCGGCTCATAAATATCTGTTTATCCTCCTCAGTTGGATATGGGTGATCGAGATGCTCCCATAACCAAGCCCGGAGCATGTCCGTTACTGGCTTTGGCAGGTTTCCTCTTCTCTTCTTCTCCCTCATATCACCAAGCTCGCATTCTGAAAGGCAGAATCCTGAGGCTGGTCTGAAATGACCAAAAGACGATTGGGGGTAGCCTCTGTCGCACGCATGAGGCTGTTCATACGATGCGGGGTATGGGAGTTGGTCGCGGCAGTCGCAGGGAGACACCATGTTGACTGGAGAGGATGAATGTGAAAAGCTCGAAGAATCGAAGGAAAACTGACTCCGGGGAGAGGATATCGAGTAGTTGGACAGTTCTCCATCGTTTCTTCCTCGGCTGTTCATGGGAGCATAAATGGCGTTGCTGTTGGCGTTTGGTGAAACCTTGACGAGATATTCCCTCGATGGAGATGGGATAGGAGGAGGTAGTGACCGATTGATCTCGGAAAGAGAAAGCCTAGGACGCGAGTGTGGAGCAGAGGCTGTGGATTTGGGTTCTGATATATGAGGTTGCTGGATATTTGGAGATTTGGCATTGTTGCCCAAGAACCTGTCAGGTCGCAGGGAAACATCATCAAACCGGCTATCTCTGGCAAAGAGTCTGGATGGAAGTCTATCGGTGTGCTGAGGAGTCGGTGGTGGCATGGTATCCTGCAGTGAACCACGCCTCCAATTCTGATTTGACTGAGTATAAAACACTCCACCCTCTATTTCATCATGAAGATGATCAGGCAGAAGCTGAAAGAAAGTTAGAGAATACTGCATCACACCATGGCCGTGGGTTTTCATACCTCTCTGAAGGAGGGGAGCTTCTCCGAGCGATGATCAGATAATACCGTTGAGTAGGCAACTGTCATCTTTTCTACCTAGAAATGTTTAGGAGCTCGGGTGTCAAAGAGCATAAAGCCTTGAATCTGTGCTTTCAAGACACTAGTATCATTCGATAAATATCGGAGCAGCTTCAGGGCAGGTGTGAGAGATGATATATATCTTAGGCAGTTCGAAGACGTTAGGTCGAGATGGGGTGAAGCCGGTGAACCGGTTTAATGGTTAAACGTGAGTTATGTATCAAATGCCGGTAGAGTTCAAACTTCAAGCTGACAAGGGGGTTGTCTGGTATATAGGCTGATGTAGACCTGAATGAGTAAGTGTCATCAAAAAAGTATCTTCCGTTTGCAATGGACGTTCTGCTTTTTAGTTGATGTTTGGGGTGGGAAGAGACAGGTGAGTATTATATGTATCAAAAAAGGCACACCCGCGTCTGATATGGAGCATCGTCCAGCGGCCACCACCGTCTTGAACCCATGGCGATCGGTCTCTGTGGATCCAAGGAAATCCCACCCACCCTTAGAAGGGCAATGGAGTCAAAAGAAAAAGAAGGATGACAGGGGCAAGACGCTTGAAAGGGCCTATCCTGATCTGGTCCGATGTGGAGGGCTTGGAGGAGGGTATGGCAAAAAAGCAAACTTGAGTCGGACAGAAAAGCTCCCCCATCAGACTGATTTGCCTAGCCTGACGACGAAAAAAAAAAAAGAAAAGAAAAGAAAAAAGAAAAGGAAAAGGAAAAAAGAAACTATGTCCTGCTGCTTGTTCCCAGGCTCAGCATCATTCGAACGCCCGCTTGCTTGCTGAATGATACGATGCTCGGCCCTTTCACTAGAGACCAATAGCTAATGGTCAGGGGTTCGAGCTAACGAGGGGGTTCCTTTGCCGTTGAACATAATTCTATGTCGCAGGGCTTAACTAACCAGCCAGAAAGTAGCATCAAACCCCCAAAGCACCCTCTGACATGTCCCAAAGAACGCTGACAATGGAGGCTAGTGGATCCTGAAGGCTGCATCTCGAGCATCATCGAGTGAGATCTCCGAGGGTGAGGCGTTTTAGCATTCCCTGATGCCCGCCACAGATTGAGTTGCCTCAGAAGCAGGATGAATTAACGCCCGTTCTCAGGCATAACGCCAGATCCCAGTCTCTCTAGTTGGTCTGATGGAGGATACTACACAGAATTATCCTATCTTGAGACATGACTGTGCCTTTTCTTTTTTTGATCTTTTTTTTCTTCTTCCCGGTGACAGGCCTGAGGCCCTCGCGGAGACTAGAGGGAGAAGAAGAAGAAGAGAAAGAAGAAAAGAAAACCACATCACTCCTCCTCCATGGCCTTCCGTGTCCACATGGCAAAGCGACTACAATGTGCATCGCCCGACGCGGGGTGGATGATAACAACATACCCCGGAACATGTCAATATATGTGCATGCTCTACGGATGCTTGTTCGGTCCATAAAATCAAAGGCCGAATAACTGATTATCGCCAGGAACGCTCGGCCAGATAGAAGTATGTGGAGTGACTACGTTGCAAGGCAAGAAACCTTGATCTGGGGTCGAATCTTCGTTTTCTCTCAAGCCACTATCGACTCGCAACTTCAGGTTTTTTTCGCCTTGGTGATAAATTCAACGAGGGAATAAAAAGAAACAAAAAAGAAAAGAAAACGATATCCATGCGCCCGGGCTTTGAGGCGCTCAGCAGGTCATCTTGCAAATCCGTCCTAATGGGGGAAGAGAGAGGACACGCCAGGTTCGAGGACGTGACAAGCGCGAACCGAAAACTCTTCACGCAATGACCAAAGGCTTTCCAATAATCTGGTCATATCGTACCGTGTAAATCTGCGCTAAACAGCCGACTCTCTGGACCCCGAGCTCTGTGGTATGGCCTTTTAGGGTTGAAAAACGCATATCAACTGGCTCTACCAAATATCTGCTGTCACACAACATCCGAGAAGAAACGATGGTTGTACTTGCTGCAGTAAATAAATACCTTTTTTTATTTTTCTGACACGATTCAGCCCATCGCCGGCCACCACCAAATCCCTAGTACATTGCCATCTGCTAGGTAGAGTTTCAGTTAAATCGAAACATGGCTGGCTTACGATCAAACGATCGGCCAACCACACGACTCGAAACTTGGATTTTGTGGGAATATTGACTTCTTCTTGCTCGATATATAACCTGGTTCCTTTTGATCACGACTGAATCTGACAGCAACGGACATATCCTTAGGGCCCTGATCTACCGAAATTACTGGGAAATCTCTACTATACTCGATGCGGAGAACACCACTCTACATAGTATACTGGCGTGTTCCTTCACTCTCAAGGTTTCTTACCCCCCACCCCCCGCGCGCAGGCAGGGATATGTTGGCCCTAGCCTAGTTGCCTATGAAATCGATCGTTGCCACGTCGGGCGGTTGTCAGATCTGATAGTCGCTCCCTTGACAAAAGCAGGAAATATAAAGATGGGAAAGCAATACTCGCAGTCACATATCAGCAATAGACAGAATCGGACTATAGGTGGAATGATTAACACCGGATTTATCCAGGCTGGCCATGATTTCCTGTTGCGGCCAGACGGAAACACGTGTAACATGGGTCTCAGAGACGCTGTCTGGCGATAAAGTCAATAAATGGCGGGTTTGGAGCAAACACTCAAGAGTCCAAATAATTGACAGCTCATCTAATTTGGGAAGAAGGGTAAAAAAGCAAACTAAGGAATCAAGCGAACGAGCGAACGAGTGAACGAATGGTCTCGTTTCTTAACATTCGATATTTAGCATCTTACTATATGCCATGCTACCAAGTTGCGGTAAACATTACTGGCTAGGATGCTGGCCTCTCGCAGATGCTGATGGCTTACAACGTATGCTGTGATGCAATGCATATAATCTGGATGGTTTCAGGCTGCGCATAACAGGCACCTCATACGGAGCACTCCGTACATGCAGTGGCATAAATGACAGGTGACCCTTATCTTTTACCAATGATATAGTTCCACCTACTACTGCTGTTCACGCTTATTACGACTGGCCCTTCTCAAGAATGTGGAAGGCTTCCTAACCTCCAGAATACATAAGCTCATAAGGCAACAATAGTTTCACCAAAACAGGAAGAACGACGATAACCCTAATGGTTCAGAACCTTGCCCATGGACCCCCAGGAGTGTTGTTGATGAATATCAATACTCCGTAAAGGCCCACTCGCTTGCCGGATGGCAGCCTGAACTAGTTGTATGCACACTTCCCACTTGAGGTCGAGGTCGACATGAAGGTGGTACAATAGGTCAACATGCTGTCTTCTCTCCTAATCTCCAGGGAATCCTTTTCGCCGACAAACCAGGAAACGTTGCTCTTGTGTGACATCCGGTTGCTCTCAGACGTTCAGTTACGTTTGACTAGCAGTTTGAGAGAAGAACATCATTGATATTTATGCAGAGAGGGAAAAAGGACGAGACCCAGAGACTCCCAAAACAGACCTCGAGTCGTGGATATGTAAAGTGACGAATCATAAACCGATCAGGAAAAAGCAAGTACATCCCTGATTTTGATCTCTCGTTCTCCCTTTCCATGGCGCACCAACCCGTCTTATCTTACCAATTCTTCTCGGGATTCTAAGGGGCGCCGCCACAGGTCCCGATGGCCGATGCGTGTATGCGCGGTTGTCACACGTCCCAATTGCCCCCTCCCCACGCACTCGTGAAGATGCGTTTGTCATCTTTCACCAGTTGTTTGTGTAAGGGCGATGCGCTGTACGGAATGTTATTACACGATCCGGAATGATAACCTCGACATGTTCTCAGTGTCACTCGACACCCCTGCCGACCCCAAGATGTAAGACTCGAGCACAACGCATACATACATACATACATATATATATATATATATATATTGGCCTTGTGTGGGATGCCCAAAAACGTCTGTTGAGGGAATCTGTGTCGTATATGCATGCGCCTTTCCGTCATGCGACCCCGATCGAGCTATGCTCACCCATGGCAAACAAATCAGCCGAAACATCGCCATAGTGAAATGTCTATGCGCCATGTTAAACAAACTTCATTTCCCCATCCAGCTACAATTAACCTGTCGTTCAAGCTTCTGTATGGCCTAGCCTAGAAAGCCTCTTCCCCATAGACGGGCCGCACGTAAGACAGACACAGGTCGGATGCCTGATTAACGGGGATTTTATCAATGCTACATTGTCAAAGTTTGCCGTGTGCTAACCCAGGTAGACCGCTTGGCTCTTGTCAGAAAATGAAATATCGCCTCTTCGGCATTTAGCCGTCTCTACAGTACCAGATAGGCTTAGACTAATATTTACCGACAGGCTAGAGCTCTCGGGAGTAGCCCGCATGGTAATATACTACCCCAGGGGGGACCTGCTCTCTAACCGACAGATATAAAATCTTGAGGCTCCTGATTGTGCTCTTATTAGCACTGTTTGATAGCAGCCCGACTATGCTGATTGGCAGCCAGCTTCTTTGTTATCCAACTTCTACGCAGGTCCTTTATGCAGACCAGGAGAGACCGCGATCGTCTCTGATACCAAAACGACTTCCTGGTTTGGGTACCTGGAAATTATGGGATATGTCTTTTCCTCCATTCCTGGTCTTGTCATTAATGGCTTTCGGTTCCCAGATTCTTCCCAAGCCCACTGTTCAATACGGGTTGTTTGATTGTCATTATGTGACGGAAACGACCTGCTGGATTACTCCCCTTCATCTATCAAGAGCCAGGCTAGATCTTTACAGAGTCAGTAGTACTCTGTACAACCCCGCTGTAGATCTCTTTGTGGCGCCTACGGGCGCTGCGATTCCATGGTTCAGAAATGATAGTAAATGGTTCCAGAACGCGTGCAAACCGGAGGTTCCGTACGTTGGATTTCCATATCAACGGGGTCAACTTGGCAGGAAAGGGGAAAATCCAACCAACATTGTCATCAGCTACTATGTGCATAACATATATACTGCCATGTCTATATTACTTGTATAACCCTTTTATTTCTTCTTTTTATGAAAGAGCCATGCGTATCTTTTTTTTTTTTGGTTCCTGCTGATGAAGAGTTGAACAAACTTGAATATCTTCTCTACATTTCCTTGATTGTTGGAGAGAGAAAAAAAAATAACGGGGAAACTGCTGTCGCCAGTCTGAGAAGTTATTAACAATATTCAGGTTGGCTGGACAGCAACGTTTCTCTACATCAGGTAGATGACATGTATTATTCTCCTGGAAAATGACGAATGTACTACCTGATAACCCAGTTTTTATCCCGTCTTTTACTGCTTCTTGCATTACTATTATCATAAACGGGAAAGCCTTGCTGGCATATTCTGAAAACAGTCAACCAACGGCTTATACGACAGAGGGATTATTAGTCTTGCGGACGAGAGGAAAGCAACTGCTGTCTGCCAGAGAGTAAAATAGATGTCATATTGGTGAAATGATAAAATGGATTGCTCCTAATGCTAATTGTTTATTCTATGCTAAAAATAACTTCAGAAATGGGTCAAAATTGATAGGGATTCTAAAGATGAGGCGCTGATAATGAAAAATAGATATTGAAGACTGGATATCGAAAAGAGAATCACTTTTGAAGTTATGGGTCCAGATTTCGTTGTAGAGGGTGGTTGGGGTTGATAGAAAATATTCATCCCGAAAAGTTCAATGATGGTCGATTTACCAAGTCTCCTATTACGGGTTGTCAGTATAGATTCGAGCTCAAAAAGGAAATCAGATATTGCATGAAACGAAAAAGAAAAAGGAAAAGAAGAACCAGGACATACCGCAATGTACTGGCCAGCCGCCTTTTTCTCGTCCCAAAATATTTTTGCCTGCTCTGGGTTCAAGTTACCCTTTGCGATAGCGACGTCAATCAAGGCGGCCTCGACACCCTCGCCCATGCCCTTGCTGCTGCCACAGACAAACACTCGCCCATCAAGGGAGTTGATTACGAACCAGACCAGGTCGGCTTGATGGCGTACTTCCTCTTGCACGTATCTGCCTTCGCCTCGTCTGCTCTGGACCACTTTCTTAACTTCATCCTCATGTACTCCCCACTCTCCAGAGTAAAGCTCGTCAAGCAAAGAATCACGGACACCTTGGAGTACCCACACCTTGTTTGCACAGTTAGCTGACCTGAGGCGACTCTGAACAAAGCCGCGGAATGGAGCAACGCCGACTCCGGCTCCAATGAGGAGCATGGGTCCATCAGAGACGAATCTCCTGGCGAGCGGGTTGGACATGAGTCCACGGAACATGGGGACGTGCAAATCTAGGCTGGCTGGATCGATTCCGTCTTTCTCAGCTGCTTGAATCTTTCGAGCCAGACGTTCTAAGAAGCCGGATCCAACACCTGTGCGGTAACCCCCATGCCAGTCAGGGCACTCGTGGACTGTTACCGCAATCTCGATGATACGTCGTGATTCTTTACCGTCAATGGTGCGCTGAATCATAGGGTCTTGGGAGAGGGAATAGAACCGGGGCATAAGCGTGTTTAGGGTGGAGAGAAGGTGGTCTAATGGTGGATGAGAGGAAGGGAACGCATCGAGGAGCTGTAGAACGGTAATGTAGGGACCAGTACGAAGATCGCAGAAGGCACCCTGTCCCTGGGCAGAGCAGAGATACGTTAAGATCTTCTTCTCGTTTTCGTCAGATGCGTACTCGGCAAGCAGCCGAAGGAGCGGCTTTGTTGGAGGGTAGCTTTGTAAGTCCGAGCACCAGCTGAGTAGCTCTCGTCTTGTGGTCAAAAGATCTCTAGGCTTTTCGTCCCCCCAAATTGTAGGCCATCGGCCACTGGTAGTGTGGAGGGTTATCTTTTTGTCTCGTACGAATTTAGGGACTCAAGGCGGTTAAAGACAGCATCAACAACGGCCTCAGAGTTGCTTGGGCAAACACCAATTGCACCCCCAACGACGAAGTCAACATTCCCACCTTCAACCGGGTAATCCGTAACATCGATATCAAAATGATACGTTCTTTTCTCAGCCCCGGGTCTGGTCAGCTCTCGAGCATGGTGAAGGGGCGCACGGTAAACTTCATAGGGTGCGTGTGGCTGAAGGAATTGAGGAGGATGGTCTGGTGGTCCGAGTTTCTTGCCTACAGACTCAATTGATGGAGAAGAGAAAGAAACGGTATTTTCTGGGAGAGGAGCCACTTTGGTAAGTTTGCTGTCAAGAGATAGCTCACCCAGACGGAGCCCAAGGCTCTCAAATGCAGCGTTCTTAGGCCGGACAACGGGATTGGTTGTGATAGATGGCAGGGCATGTTTGAGAGGCTCGAGTTTGCAGCATCCTCCTCCGCAGCATATCTTTCCTAATAGGTTCGTACCGCCTCGAATATCTCCTAGTATTCTTTGAACATCCTCTGAGTTCTGGGATATCAAGACGGTTGACGCCCGTCTTCGGCGTTGGGGTATGGCACCAGGTTCTTTTCTTTCAATGTATACATCGTCCAGTGCTGTTTCGCTGGATGGCTCGGTTACCGGTGTCAAAGGGACATCGGAATCCATGGAAACCTCTGATGCACCGGCTACAGAGGTTGCCGAGGACTGTGAGTCTGATGCGCCGGTTGTTGAGCGCCGTAGGAGTGTCAGATGAGGGATTGATGTGGGCTCTTCTGGGATAAAGTCATCCGGATGTGATGTAGAGGTAAGTGGGATAGATACCGGCTCCTCACCGGGACAGGAGGATATAGTGGTCAACATCGCAGGGGTCAAAATGAGTATAGAGAAGGGCCTGGTGCCGTATAGATAGGCCTAAAGAACAAAAGTCAGTATCAATCCTGGCATGAATATGTCATTATCAGATATAAAATCGGAAGGAAATGGATGTTTATAGAGGATTCTGGGGCTTGTAGGTACGGATAGCAAGGAGGGCTTCCTACTGAACGAGTATTTTTTTGATCAGATAAGTGGGGGGAGAGAAAAGTTTAGGCACTATGCTGAGGTGTGCATGCGGATATCGACCTGCAAAGGACCGCTGCTGTGAAGAAGAAGAAGAAGAAGTAAGAGTTTACCTGGTAGATGGAGGCAGCGAGGTTGATGTTATATTTTTATTCAATCCCCTTCGGCCATCCTGGCGTTGGGAGGCGAATTTTCCGCCGAAAAAAAGGGAAACTCCCTAATCAGATCTTGCCGAGACTCTCGAAGAAAATTACACGGGATCCGTAATTACGAAAATTACGAGACTAATCGCGGCGCTGCGAAACCATCTATCGGATAACAGGCGCGGATGGCTGCAGCCATCCGATCTGTGGTTGTCTACTGCGAGGGGCCCGTTTGCAGCCCAGCCAGGCTATCTTGCCTAGCACGATCGGATCCTGGCTGCTGGTTCCCCTTGTCGTTTACGTGGCCCATCAGATGCATTTTTGGGTGCATTTCCATTTAACTACTTTTGTATGTGCCAGATGCACCCCATATTTCGCCCCTTCGCTGATCGGGTAAAGCGGCGTAAATTACGATACAGCCGGCCCACAGGTTTCATATCAGATCGAGCTCTGATTGGCTGAACGGCCGAGTGGTCACGCCATTATCAATCATCGGATCAGATTAGATCAGATTATATAAACAAATAGCAAAAGGGCCATCAAAAAGGGGGAAACCTGAAGAGAGTGACCCAGTGGTTTTAAAGACTATGTTTCAGCCAGTGGGAGATGCGTCTTACTATGTACGGTGTATGTTATGTATGCTGATGGGGCCTTGTCCGTCTACCCTGCAGCTACAGAGTGCATATATAACAAACTTACACTACGAGATACCGACCTTGGCTTGACACAAGTACGAAACACGAATATGGCTCGTGCTCCGTGAACCTGTTCCAGATGCAGGCTATTCAAGCAGACATAGCGGCTTGGTGCATTTTCTCTAACTTCTGAGAAAGCAGTTGACAACCCCAAACGGATCCCTGGAAGGATCCCTTGCTGCCGGCCTCCGAGCATATGGGATAGGGCGTTTTTGGACGGAAAATTTACTCCGTCCCCATCCGCCCCATTGCCAAATTCAAGGAATCTCTTATAAAACAAAAAAGTCCCTTGTAGTCTGTTAATTCACGGGAGAGATGCTGATGAATGGGAGTAAAGACTCCTTCTTTGTCTGTTTGATGATGATCTCCCTCAGTTCTTCTACACCAAAAAGACGCCGCAAACAACGCTTATTGTACTCCGTATAGTACGGGAGTATGCTTGAAATCAAATTTACCGTTATGAGGAAAGTAAAGAAAGGATAACCCGAACATCCTTGCTTGGCTGTCAGATATAAGTATAGCTGCCGAATGATGCATGCACTCGAGTGGATCGACAGGGGTATCAAGTAGCCAGTTGCGGCATTTTTAGCCCCATGCATACACTTGCGGTAACTAGCAGTGCCTTGACAAAAGTCTCGATGAAAGCCGTTTCTTTGAAGGCAATGCGTTTGGGCGACTTTGTTGTTCTATCGCAAACCAAAGATGTTCCGTAGAGAATCCTGATTTTGTCCCCTTTCCATCAAAATCACCGGACGAGATAAATATGTCAAGAATTTGATATCGGTCTCGGCGTCCAGTGTCCAGAACTAACCCTTGTATTCTCTTCTGCCGTGATGATCACGAGCCGACAGCCGGGGTTATAGAAATGCAGTACAGAAGGAAACGCCGATACACGTGATGGTTCTCGAATCTGGAAATAAGCCACCAGGGGGAATATACTGTTCTGGTAGATCTGCAGGCTTCATTCTCTAACGCTCGAGTATCATGTCTAATATTTCCGGACGGACCTACTGGATGCAGTGAGTAATAGTGACGTTACTTAGAGGGGGGCAATTTTTACTCCGTGCAAACTATGAGCATGCTTACTTACCGTCGGCCGCTTGTAGAGCCATCTTTGTCTATAACATTATAATATTTGGCTGTTCAACTTGGTTGAAGATCCATGGATGGATTGAACAAGAGTCACGTGAGTAGCCCTTTTTAGTTTCTTTTCGAACCGCAAATGTTCTCGGAGGCTAATGGCAGAATCACGTGACTGAAGCCTCTATAAGACACAGCGGAACAGCAAAACGATGCCTTAGCACCAAAATAAGTATAGGAAAGGGCGATATCTAGGTAGAATATTAATTTGTCGGAGCGAAGCGAAGTATATTGTATTCCAAAAAGGGGATATATAGAAGGGGTCAAATGTGCGTATTTGCGGGTCCGCTGTAAATTACGTGATTGGTTGAATCCTGAGCATTTGATTGGATTCTTGCATCCTTGCATAAGTAGCGGCTTGGCGGCCTATTCATCTCATCACGTGATATATCCTCTTGAATGCCTATAGGAGAAAGCTTGAGCTTTTGACTTGCCTACTATGTAGTAATAATAATAATTGATAATTAAAAGGGAGTAAAGCTTAATAAGGAAAATCAAATGTTAAATATAGAATTTCTCTACTATTAGTTAGTATTTAATTCTAAAAGTTAATTAGAATAAGCTTAATAAGAGCTTCAATTTGCCTCAATTGACCAGAAATTCGCGGTGTTCGACCATTTGTGCGCTATAGCTCGAGTTCGCGACAGACGAAGACGAAGAAGACGAAGAAGCCTTGATGAAGTCAAGGCGGATTGAAATCTCTTGGATTCACTTTGAGATCTGATTATCAAACAAAGATACATTAGAAAGAATGAGAGACAGAAGAAAACATTACAACAGCAGATATACCTAGGACGCAGCCATGCGTGCGGATTCAAGAAACAGTGTCAAGATTCTGTGCTTGGACGAGATCGTAATACATCTCTCTCTTTGCCATCAACTGCTCATGGTACCTTTTCGACCAGTTTGCCCTGGTCCATGACGCAGATCAGGTCGGCTCGCTTGATGGTACTCAGCCT